CCCTTTCTGGATTAGCAGGGCAGTCAGAACAGTCAGTGCCAGCATCAGAAGAGAACCTGAGTGGCAAGCTTCTGGGAAGTTATGTACAGGACCAAGGTTAGAGTTTTTATTTTATGTATATGAACGTTTTGTTTTCCTAAAAGTATTTCACCTTCATAACCTTCATTGCTCCACTGTTCTATTTCTTCAGTTCATGAAATCGATTCATTTGTTGCTTCACTTGTCTCCCTCCTGAACTTGAATCTCGCCGTCAGCCATTTCAACTCTCACCTCTTTGGCCACAGCAACTCCTAGGTGCGTTTGTCCCCCTACCATTCCAATCCCCAACATGGGTCATTCAGAGTGTGTACTTTTTCTCCTCCAGGGCTGGAAAGCACTGCTGACGGTGAGTCATAAACTCCCTCCCTGCTAATTATCAATGCTTTTATTTATCCCTTGACTAACATACAAGCACCACCGGCTGCTCTAAACCTTCCCCAATCTACTGCTCTTTCCTGATGTCTCAACTGCTATGTTGCAGAATGAATCAAATCTATTCTATATGAACAAACATACCGTGTTTCTGTTTCGCTCCAAAGTGCCTCTGTAGCGAAGGTTTACGTGGTTTTCAGGATAGTACTGCATTCTCTTGGTTTTCTTCTCTGACTCCTTTGTTGGTTCCTCCTCTTTCCTCAAACTTTTAATGTTTGAGTGTGTCAGGAATCAGACACCTTCCCTAATCATACTTATTATTTAAGTTGTGTCCATCTGTCAAAGAATCTGATTCTACTTTCAAGACATCATAAGTCTGACCACTTAGTACTAGGTGCAGCGCTACTACCCTGGTTTAAGCCATCATCATCTCTCACTTGGACAACAGCCTCCAACCTGGTTTCCCTGTTTCCACCCTTGCTTACTACAATCTATTGTCAATACAGAAGCCAGAAGGATGCTTTTAAAATGTTAAATTAGATGCAGTCACTTCTTTGCTATAATACCTCTAATGATTCCCCAATTTTAGTCAAGGTAAGAGCCCATATCTTTACAATGGCCTACAAAACCCTATGCCTGACTCCCATTTACCTTTCTGACTTCATCTCCTATTATTCTTCTTCCTTCTTACTCTTGCTCTTCTCTCTCGCTTGCTTTTCTCCAGTCATATGGACCTCCCTGCTGCTATTTCTTGAACAGACCAAACACACCGCTGCCTCAGGACCTTTCATTTACGCCTCCCACTCCCTGGATCACCCTCTTTCCCCATATCTGTATGACTGAGCTTTCTAATCTTTGCTCAAATATCAGTGAGGCCTTTCCTGACCACTCTATTAAATATTGTAATCAACTTCCCCATTCCTCATGCTCCTTTCCTTGCTTTATTACTTCCACAGCACTTACCACCATCTAATATACTATATAATTTTCTCATTTTGTTCATTGTCTCTCTCCCCACACTAGCACATATAGTTTATGAGAACAGCGATTTTCTTCTCTTTTATTTGTTGTGGTAGTCTTAATACATAGAACAGTGTATGACACATAGTTGGTTTACAATAAAGATTTCCTGAAAGACTGACTGACTGAATGAGTAAATGTTAAAAAGAAAAGGAGAAAAAGGAGAACTAAAATGAAGAAGAAAGGAAAAAAAAACTTGCCCAAAACAATACAACAATTAATACAGTGTAGCCAGCATTACAAACAATTACTATGGTGTAGCCAGATCTGCTTGGCTTCAAAGCCATTCTATTATAGCATCAGTTAAGAAGCTTCTAGTTGAAAGAAATACCTTAAGAATTTAAATAAGCTCAATAAGCAGTATCATAAAAAAGAAAAAAAAATTAGTAATTTCCTAAAATACAATTAGAAAATAATTGATTCAAAACTATTTAAACTCAACTATAAATAATACATTTTTTCAAAACTACAAAAGTATATATAATTCCTTCTTTTAAAAATAAGTATAATTAAAGATAATTTTGAGAAGACTGGAGGCTTCTGCTTTCAATCAAGATGAAGTAACAGGAACTGGATTTACCCTCCTTCCTGAAACAACCCCCCTCTTCCAACAAACAACAAACCAGCAAACAAACAAACCAAAAACAGACAAAAATACATAATACATTTACTTATAAAACACTGAACATCAGGCAAATAAGGAGAGTGATACTTGACAGACAGGAAATAAATGAGGTGAGACCAATGAGTGCCTTGAGAAAATGTGCAGGCCACGATATAGTGAGGAGGTACCCAAGCTGAGCCAACAAAGTCCTTGAGTTGAAGAAGACAGAGCCGAGAGTCTAGAAAGAACAAAGCAAATAGAATCTACAAAACAGAATACCAGAAAAGAGAGAACTATACACAAAGACAACACTAAAGATCCGAGGAACCCCCTTCAGCATTCAGGATTGTAATGATTTGTAACGTGTGTGAGAAAACTACCTGAGGCCAACGCAAGAACAGTTTGAGAGGATTACATAGGATAGTGCCTGGTACCAGGAATAGTGCCTGTTCCTACTGGCCAGCCTACAAAAAAAACAAAATCCGAAAGGGCATTGGGTAACATACTCCAATGTGGGAAATAATTAGACTTAGACTGAGCACTGCTTCAATCTTTAAAAAAAAAAAAAAAAAAAGACAAAAAACCACCCAAATGGAGCAAACTGTTTCCAAATAGCTTAACTATATCCCAGGACAAAGGTCAAGATGAATTATAGAAATTAAAAAATATGTGGTAACCAAAAAAGTAAAATTGACAATATCTGCCACCCAATCTAAGACTAGCAGGCATGTAAAAAAGCAGGAAAATATAACCAAAACTGAGAAGAAATATCAGTCATTTAAAATTGATCCAGAATTGACAGGGATGACAGAATTACGGGACACAGACATTAAGTTATTAAAACTGCATCCCATATGTTCAAAAAGCCAACTAAAAATGTAGATGTTAAGAAAAAGGGCCCTAGTCAAGTTTATAGAGCTGAAAATAACAATGTCTGAGATGAAAAATAAACTGGATTAATGGCAGATTAGACATAGTAGGAGAAAAGATTAGTATACTTAAAGATACAGAAATAGCAACTGTTCAAAAAAAAAATAGAAATAGGAATTTTGTAAAACAGAAAAGTGCATCAGTGAGCTGTGGGACAATTTCAAGCAGCCTATATGTGTATAACTGAAGTCTATTAAGAAGAGGAGACAGGGGTGAGCCAGAAAAATTAGTTAAGAAAATAATGGATGAAAAATTTCTGAATTTGAATAATCAGGAAATTGCATATTCACAAATCCAAGAAGGACAGTGAACATCAAACATAAAAATTGTGGAGAAAACCACACAAAGGCACATCATAATCAAACGGTTGAAATCAGTGATAAACAAAAAATCTTAGAAGTAGTCAGAGAAAACAGGGACATTACATACAGAGGAATAAAAAATGACAGCGGATTTCTTGTCAGAAATAATGCAAATGAGAAGACAGTGGAGCAACATCTTTAAGTACTGAAGGAAAAAAGTCTACCTACAAATATATACCTACTATAAATATCTTTCAAAAATAGACAAAATAAGATTATTTTAGACATATGAAAGCTGGACCATTTCGTCACCAACAGACCTGTACTCAAGAAATGGTAAAGAAAATCCTTTGAGCAGAAGAAAAGTAACACCAAATGAAAAGAATATATCTATACAAAGGGATATAGGGATTTGGCAATGATAACTCCACTGTTAAATATATTAAGATTTAAAAAAAATACTGAAATCTCTTTAAAACATAATTGACTTTCTAAACAAAAATAACAACACTGTACTTTATAAAATAGGTATAAGAAAAAGAATTACAGGGCAAGGCAAAATAGAAGTATATTATCACAAGTTTCTTATACTATATATGTGAAGTGCTGAATATTACTTGAAGGTAGACTACAAGTTAAACACCTGTATATGGATGTTCCTTGCAATTCACGTGTAATAGCTAAAAACTGAAACCAACCCAAATGTCTATCAACAGATGAACGAATAAGCAAATTGGAGTATAGTAATAAAATAAGATATACTAATAATACAAAGAAATCACATATTGATGCGCACAATAAAATGGATGAATCTTAAAATAATTATATTGGGAGAAAGAAACCAGATATAAGAGCACACATTGTATGATTACATTTATATAGAACTCTAGAAGACACAAACTAATCTACAGAGTCAGAAAACAAATCAATGACTGCCTGGTGGTGACGTGGGACAAGACAGATTCCAAGGGCACACAGAAGCTTTTGAGAGTCATTGTGGTGATGGCACATACATAAAACTTATCAAATTGTACATCTTAAAATATGTGCAATTTATAAAGCTGTTCAAAAAACAATTCTGGACTTAAATTTAGGTTAAAAACCAAAAATATTTAGACTACCTACAGTCTTCTGGCTCCACAGAAAAAAATAAAACAGATGAAACCCAGAATAAAATATTTGTAATTTTTAAGGGTAAGAATAAGTCACAAAAACTAACTACTCAAATAAGTTATTAGAGGTAAAAGAACTGAGTCCCAGAAAAATACAGTGACTTGGCTAAGGTCTTACAGCTAGAGTTACAGCTTACTATAATTTTTAAGATCCACAATGGCAGAGATTGTGTTATTTAGGTAACCATTGTATCCTTTTTACCTAGTACAATGCCTGGGACATAGTAAGAGCTCAATAAACAGTTGTTAAAAAGGAGGGTAAAAAGGAAGATAAAAGGAAAGAACATCTCCCTTGCAATATGAATGAAAGTTTCTCCCTACCTTTGATTCTGCAATCTCTTTAATATAGATGAGAGCATTGAACAGTACTTTTAATATCATAAGTATAAGAAAGTAAATAACATTCCATATTTTTAGCTTACTGGATATTTTATTACATTCTAATGCTTAAAAATTTCTAATTCATGTTATCAACTCTTAAAAAAAGGAGAATAGAAAATACTCCATTTATGAAGATTAGTGACATTTTCAAATTTTAAAAAATTAAGGAAAAGTACTTACCAAAAATTTCTCCATTTTTGGCATATTCTGTCACAAGGTACAACATATTTTTGGTCTCCATTACCTATTGATAAATAATTCCACATTAGTCTGACAGGAAAGAATCGCAATTTACCACATTCCACAGAGTTACTTATTTTAAAACTACTAATAAAAGTGTCAAAGTTATGAACCATTCAGAGGCTGGACAAGCTTACAAGACACAATAGCCTGATACTAACACTTTGGTGAGAAATCTAGATCCTTGCTCTTCCAAGTGTGTCCATGGACCAGCAGCAGCAGCATTTCCCAGGTGTCTGTTAGAAATGGAGGATCTCAGCCTCTACCCCAGACCTATTGACACTGAATTGACATTTTAACAAAATCCCCAGGTGATTATCATGCATATTCAAGTTTGAAAAATACTAATACAGGTAATGGCAGTTTTGAAGATCAACTTTTTACCACCTCCTCACTGACTTTTCTAACCCTGTGTTAATATGGTAGGCTCTAATCAAGAAAACGATAATAAAATACAGCTCAGTTTATCGCTGTAGCCTACCTAATCCGGCACAATGTGATAGTCCTCCTACAGTTTAATATTGTGACATAGTATTATTATAGTATTATAATTTAAAACATTGTTCAAGAGCTTCTTCATGAACTCTACTGCTATATATATTTTTATTTAAATTAGTTTTCCTAGGTTCAGAAAGGAAGTTTGTCATTGTCATAAACTTGATTTCTCAAACTACACTGAGTTGAAAGGAAATAAATTTATAGATTCAACAGGAGTGAATTTTAGATTGCTTCTCTGTAACGCTATTGTTTTATATGCTGACACATGCTAATAGCATAACATTGAAATTCTATCTACTGAAAGGCTGAAACAAATTTGCTCTAACATGTAGGTGTAGGACTATTCCCTATCAGACCAAAAAACTAAGAGCTACCTACAATATGGGTATAAAAAGTCAAAGAGTAAATCAATTTAACTGATGATTTAATTCAAATAAACGTAGAATTATCATGTGCAGCCTGGAGGTTTTAACTTCAGTTTGCCTTATGGTTCATCAGAGACTTCTAAAAATGTGATTATTTTCTTTTAAGTATCCTCCTTAGGATTTAAAAAAAAACAACCAAACAACTTAAAAAGAGAAATACTCAGGTATAAATTTGACCTAAGAGGTCCTCTATAGTTTCAAAATTTCAGGAATTGTTTTGAGTGGCACACCATAATCTCTCATCTTTAGCTAATGGTAATGCTGATGGTCCCCACACCTTTTTAATTGAAAATTTCTATCAATAAAAGTTATTTAACTAAATATAGATATGTATGTACATATGTACGTATGTGTGCATATACATAAAAATATGTACATGTATTTATGAATTTATACATAAAGAGGCACAAATTACGTACTTGGGCCAATATATAAATATATTAAGTATACTAAAAATGAGCAAAAAGGAAAAAGGACTCATGGACATGGATAATAATGTGGTGATGGGGCGGGAAGGTATAAGGGGACTAAATGGTAATGGAAAAAAAATACAGTAAGAAAATGCACACAAGAAGATAAATCTAACGATAAAAACATAATTAGAAGTTCTCATATTTTTTAAACCCCAATGGCCACTTCTGCTAACCCACTTCAGTGCACACAGTGATATGCTAGTACCAGGCCTCTGAAAGGGAAAAAAAAAAAAGGCTCCGACTTGCAAGCCAACTCCTGTGGTGTATGTATGTCTATAGTCACTGATTTTGAGCTACTAACATGATGTTAATCAGCTTGCAAATTTTCTGAAAATTAATAATCAGCTCCCAGCAGCCCGTACAGGCTGAGCCCAGCATAACACCAGATGCACACATCATATTTGGCAGATCAGAACCACAGGCTAGCATACTGTCATATTTTAGTTTAAAACTAGTTTTCCAATATAAAAAAGTCAACCTATTAAGGAATAAAAACATTACAAGTGTTTGGTATTACGTTACCATTCATGAATTACTTTTTAAAATCTGAGAAAAGTCTTCCTTTTAAAAAACACTTAAAATGGGTACAGTTTCAGTTTACAAAATTGTATCTTAACAAAGTTGCTTTTTAAAAAATGGCTCATTTACTTTATCTGATAAAATAGGCCAAACAAAATATAAGATTTGGCTCTAGGTATTACAAAGTATGTCACTAAGTAAGACACCACTTTTGGCTTTTGTATTTCTTAAAATAGTAACAGTTTATTTTTTAAATAAGCAAAACTCCCCTGTTCTCATTAATGGTGCCATCACCCAAAGCCAGCAGGTGTAAGCACAGTATCACAAACATACAACTACCAGCTTTTTAAATAAATAACTTACAGTTTAAGAGACAACTTAAAATTAAGCTACTAATAGTTTTTAGTTTTCTAATTTTTTATTTAAATATAGAAAGATGTATGTACTCAGCTTAATAAAAGCACGACATTATCCTTTTTTTAAACATTGAAAAAAACTTAAGTAAAAGAGAAAACTGATGATCCATAATAGAGAATTGAATGTGAGAAGGATGGAGAGTTCATACCTGATAAAGTTTGATTATGTGAGGATGGTCTAACATTTTCATTATTTGTACTTCTCGGTAGATTTTCTCAAGGTTCACTGCATCCAGCTGAGATTTATCTATAATTTTTATTGCCACCTGCAATGCATATACAAATAAATACAATTAGTATACAATGGTTAACATTTTCTATATAGAATCTTTTTAGTAAATGACATCTGAGACTTTGCCTATAGGTTCCTATGATGATGACAACTAGTTTAAATTCAATGCTCATTTGTTCATTCAACAAATATTAAACATCTACCATGTGTAAGACACTGGTAGACTTTGTTTGGGACTGTCTTCAGTGTGCTATCAAGAATAATCCTGCAATGTTATTCTAATAAAACATACTTCTGTTTCAATACAAATAAAATGCCTTTTTACTCTATTTATATATTAAAGAAATAAAATTTCAGCAGTTTCAACTATCATCCCGCTGCAAAGTATCTATAAGTAAATGATCAGCCAAGTAGAAGACGGTTTCCATTGTAATAGAATAAAAGTTTTCCAGAAAAGCAAGTGATAGGTTCCAAAGAATGTAGACCTACTTTCTGGTAAAAAGTTAAATATAAAGTATCAAAATCCATCTACATGAAAAGATACCAACCAATTGGATTAAATTTCGCTTTCAAAATCAAAGTACAAACACTCAAATGTTAGTAATTAAACAAAATTTGACTTCCTTAAAGGACTCTGATCTTTTAAAATGTGGCTTCTGCCTGACCTAACTCGACTGCAACCCAAACCATTCCATGGTTAGTAATGTGAAGGAATGGCATTCGAAGGTGAGTAACTAGGTATCGGAAGTCACCAATAGTCTACTTTTTTTCATGCGACAACCCTAATTTTTAAAAATTAGTAGGTATTTGGTTGAGAAATAAGTCATGTGATTTAAATAACATTTTTTAAATAATTAGACAACACCCAAATTTAATTATAGTCTCTTAAATGTACTTCATATTCTATGTATGTATTCTGAACATAATTCAGTTTTATGTTGTTTCAGGGTAATTTTTAATATCAATTACTGTACATGCTGCAATAGTTCAAGATTCTTAAAAGGTACCCAAGAAAACAGGACTCAGCTTCTCAAATCCCTCAGACTCCTGTTTATAGTGGGTTGGCCAAAAAGTCTGTATGGTTTTTTTCCGTAAAATAAGACACATTTTTTCATTTGTACCAATAACTTTATTTACTTGTATATTTTGAATGTTGGCTATCTCCTGTGTGGTATAGCATTAACTGTTCTCAACCAGTATCAACCAAGTATCTTCAACTGCTGTCAATGTCAACTGGTCGACCCGACCATGGAGCATTGCCCAGTGAGGAATCTCCAGCACAAAACTTGGGAACCATTTTGGACACATTCCATCAGTCACACCTTCTCCATACACTGCACAAAGCTTTGTTTGCATTTTAGTTGTATTTTTACTTTCTTGAAATAATAAGGCATAATGTGCTGAAAATGCTGCACATTTTCTTCCATCTTTAATGTTAAAATGGCTACACAAAAATTCACCCATTTTGATGTTTTTGTCTAAAACTAAATAAAATCTTCAAAAAAATGCATACTGATATGACAGCTGTCACAATACAATCTAACAAAATTGTTTCGAATGAAGTTCAAGACAACTAAGAGCCATTGTATGGCGAACCCATTACAATTAGTTTTTAATTCTTTCCTTAGGATTACTCTGTCCTTCGCTGTTATTTCTACTGTGAGGTTTATTTCTTACCTTTCTCTATTTCTAATTTGGTGTTACAGCTTGTTTCCTGATTTGAATTAACGGCAACCTACAGAAGAACTGAAGTTCCCAAAGAAATCACATTACTAAATATAATGGAAAAATTAAAATTCTGCCTAAGAGGAAAGGGCATAGCTTCTTTGCTAGGCGGCAAAGTGCACAGGTTTTACGGCGGCTATTTTGATTATGTTTGTTAGTATTTTGCTTCTGTAGTAAAAATATTTTAAAAAGTGAAAAGCGCTAAACTTTGCTAGAAATGAGCAGTCATTATCATTTAAGCACAGTATTATTATTTACTTTGGGTAGAAGCTGATGGATAAAAAGATAAGTGTATACTTGAATCTCCTCAATATTCCTTAGGAAGGTAGCATGGGCGTATTTTGAAGAAAATGTGTTGCCCTACAATTTCTGGAGTGCATCTAGATACCAGTAACCCCTCCCCTCCAAAAAAGCTTTAAAAACAAAATGGGCCACAACCATCTAATACATAGAAAAAGAACTGGAGTGAAAAGGATCATGGTTTTTAAAATTGCAGCATGGATTACTGTCATTAAGAAAACTTGTATTATATATCGAGTATCATATTTAATGTTAAGGAAAAAGCCTGATATTAAATAGCAATTAAAGCAAGGTATGAATTACCAAGAGATAGCTCCCCTTTTATGTGCTTTTGGAAACTTGGCCTCAAACAATAAAAAAAGTAAAAAATATATAAATTATCTAATTAAGTTTTAACAAGTTATAAATCTCATTTAACTTTTCTCAGCCAAAAACATCTAAAATGACAAAACATAACTCTCTTCTCAATTTTATCTTGGGTCAGTGGCTGGATATATATGGACCACAAGTCTATATATTTATATTTTAATCATGTTACCCCTTGTTTGTAAGACTGCTATAAGATTAGGAAAAGGTAAAGTAATAAAGGAAAAATAGAGCATGTGTTATTAGCATGCTCCTTGCTTACAATAGTAGAAGTAACAGCTAGTCCCCCAAAATAATGGCTGAGACACAAGAGTTTATTCCTTGCTGGTGTAGCAAAACCGGACAGGTAAAAAGCTAGTAGGTGGCCCTCCTCCATGAAGGCACACCAGATTCAAGGAGGCCTACTGCTTTTCATGGGTGGCTTCTAGGGTTAACCTGAAGGTTGTCTCCATTCCAGAAAAACAGAAAACAAAACTTGGAGGATCCCTCTAAGAGGTTTTTATGGCACACATTATTTCTGTTTACTCTATCAATTAGAACTCAGTCACGTGACCATGCCTAAATGCCAGAGGGGCCAAGAAACAGTCCAGTTGTAGGTCCAGGAAGAAGAGGAAACAGTGGATTTTGGGTGATCAGCTAGCAGTTGCTGTCATACTCTTCCAGGTAATTTCTCAACAATGGGACTCTACCAAGTACTTCTCAGACATAAGATGACGATGATGATGATGACCGCCTTCACAACTGTACATCATTATTTAACAAAATACTTTAGCATATTTTAACAAAGTTTATTGCATTTGTTTCTCAACTTTGTATGGTAAATGTAAAAGCAGTACACCCATGAGATGATGAAACTGAGTTTCAAAGATACTACATGATTTACAAAGGTCCTAAAGCTCAAGTGAATTAATGGGAAAAAACTGCAGGCCTTTTATAACTACAAGTTCAATTTTTTCATTATTTAAAGAACCAGTTATTCAAGCATTTACTGAGCACCTGTTGTGTGCCCAGAATTATGCCTGGGATACAAAAATGTGATCTAATTCTTGCCCTCAAGAACTTAATAACTCTGTGAGAACAAACAATACATTTTGGAAAACAAATTCCATCAACAAAGTTCTGTATTTCAGGGTTTCCTCAATGGTGTACAAAAGTTCCAATTTACAAAAGAATTGTGTTCCAATAGCTCATTTTGAAGTTAGCTATGAACACAACATTTCTGGGAACTTACTCTCTGCATCTCTTCTTTACTTAATTCCAAACAAAAGACAAAATCTGCATGGCAGTAACAAAGTCAAGCAAGGGACTCTGTAAACTGAAGGATCTGTTTTTCTGTTGTTGTTCATCTAAATTACTCAACTCTCTAAATCCCAATTATACATGCATTATCTTTATTTTAACCTTCAATGAATTTACTGGGATAGAAAAATTAATATTACTTCTGTGAGGGTTCAAAAGGAAAGTTTCCTATACAAACTTGGGGGGCGTATTGGATAAGATATTACTATTGAACTAAATCCCATGTAAAGTAGCAACACTGAATATTGTAACTTCGGAAACAGGAAAATGTGAATTAGAAACAAAATACCTAATATGTCAATTATATCTAGAAAGATACTATTTTCACTTGCAGAATTTACTAAGATTAAAAAATAAACACTCTTGTGAGCTAAGGTTCAACAAGATGGTCACTTTTAATGTGTTGCTGCTAGGAATATAAAGTAGGTTATAATTTTTCTGGAAAGCAACTTGACAATACCAAGAACCTGAAAAATCATCCATCCCATTTAGCCTAAGGATTCTACTTCTGAGGATTATTTGAAAGAAATAATCTGAAATGGTGATAAATATTTTTGTGTAAATATACTCAATAATTATTTATGACATTAAAAATACAAACAGTACCTGGGGAATAATTACATAAATTATGTTAATGTATATTATGACTATTAATATAGCTATTAAAATGGTTCCTTTTAAAAATATGGAAAAATGCTTATGTTACAATATTAAATTAAAAATAGGATAGCAGTGCAGTTTCAACACAAGGAAAAAGACCATAAAAAAACTAGCTAAAATATAATGAAATGTTATAAGTAGGTAAAAAAAACATGAATTATTATATATTTTTGTATTATATTTTTCTGTGCATTTTTGCTCCAATGAGCATGAATACTTTTCTAATGAGAAAAAAGGAAAAGAAAATGAAGTTATTATATTTATCAAATATACTAACTTTTCCATCTGTGAAATGTCAGTCATTTTGATTTCCTTATTTTCTAAATTCTCTATTAAGTGAGTATTAAGATTTAATTAGTTAAGACTATATACATAAAAAATGTTTTTAATAATGTTAAGTAAAAAAAATACATATAAAAGTAACAACTATGTAAAATACAAATTTTCTCAGAAGACCAGGAATTAAATGTAAAAGCAAAAATCAAATAGTGTTAAGGTGGTGGATAAAAAGAATATTTTCATTTTTCAAAATAATTTCATGGTAATATTACCTTTTTTGATGAATTTTTTGTAGAAAAAATTATTTCTCTTCTCATTAAAGAAATGTTAATCTTAAAGAAACCACACACACAAAAGTGGCTTTGAGGGATTTCACGAGGAAAATACACAATAATAGCTATTCTT